ATGCCCCGGCCCGAAGTGGTTAATGCAAAACACAAGGTGTGGAAGAGCTGAAGAGAGGGCCACTTGGATGTTACTGTTTGTAAGGGGACAGGTGTAGATGAATTGTCAAGTTCAGTTTTCAAGGAATCATACAACGCTTGCCGATTGTAGAATATTGTTGGAAAGTTTTTCTTTGTCAAAATCTGCAAGCCTGTTATCTTTGTGAAACCGGTGACAATGTGGTCATACCTAACAGGATTGGAAAGCAATAAAATCATCTGTGTTCGGGATTTTGGGGGATTCCAAATTGAGGGAGACATCCAAGGGAAGGTTTGGATTAGAATGCACAAGAAAAATTGACGTGCAGACGTTGGGACTTGAGAAATAAATCAGAACTAAATACTGTGAGGATTGCTCTTCTGACTAAATTGCAGGTTTATGCTGCTCGCAGACTACGAAGACTACATAGCCACTCAGGACAAGGTTAACCAACTTTTCCTGGTGAGTCTTGTTTGGTGTGCCCCCTCATAATGAGCTGTCACTCTATGGCTGATAGATTAAGAATTGGAAGTTATGATTCTTGCAGATACCAACAAAACAAATCACGCGGTCCTCTTTTACAAAGTGAATTTTTGGTACTGAAGATACTGGTAAGAAAGTGCACAGATTTCTAGCATAAATTAGTGATAACCATCTAATTGTAAATTGCTAAATAAATTAGTTAAATGTAAGTAGCTCTTGAAGGTTTGCATGGTGGAATGCGATAAGGGAGAGGATTTGCGGATACACCATGTGGAAAATATCTCTTTGGGTATGTGTGGCTCTGAAAAGAACCGGTTACTCGACATTTCGGACAGTGAGTGGTCAGCACATACCCAAAGAGATATTTTCCACATGGTGTATCTGCAAACACTCTACCTTGTAGTTAAATGTACTTCTTATTAACTCATAAACCTTGTACAAAACCATTCTTTGTTGAAAAGTTTATGGTTACTTGCAATATTTAAGTCTCGCATTTCATGTTGCATATACCTCTAAGGTGTTACACATGACCACTAAAAAGGCACGCATGTAAACGTACCGGGCTGTGATTTGTCGGCATTGGTTGGTCACATATCTAACTAATAAAGAGTGACCCACATAGGGAGTTACAGAAAAGACCCCCCCCCCGCACGCCTGTTCAAATGAAATTTGGCTTCATCATCAGATGCCCTCTGTTCTCTTCCAAGAACCCCAATGAGTGGACGAAGAAGTGCATCCTCAACATCGCCGCTTCGGGCAAGTTCTCCAGCGACCGCACCATCGGGGAGTACGCCCGGGAGATCTGGGGGGTGGAACCCAATGCCATCAAACTGCCGCCGCCCCACGTCCCGCCCGAATTCCGGGAGGATGCCATTAACGCCAACCAGGACCCCACCAAAGGTGACCAGAGGCATGTGTCATATTAGAGCGCTAGAATACTCAGACTGTACAAATCGTCGAATAAAATGACATATCCAATATATTTTATATCTTGCACAGTGAACGCCGAATAAGGTACCCAAATTTGAAGATGGTAAGTTAAATGTCAGCTTGAGCTGGCTCAACTTTAACTCCGTCATAACTTTGAAAAGTCCACTAGTTTTTTTGAGGATTTGCCAGGGCAGAGAAAGGAAGAGGCCAGCCACCATTTCTTATTTGGGGCTCGACTTGCTGTGAAAGTGCAAAGGGCATGCCATTGCTTTCCGGCAGAAGACGATTTTTGAGGCTTCCTCAGAAAGGCTCCAAGCAAGAATGCCCAGCAATATTACTGGCGAGTTAGAATTTAATGTCGTATTGAAATTTTGGCATGGTTATAAGATGAACCATTGGATAGATCCAAAACAGCACTGTTGCTTTATTCTGTAGGGAGTGTGTAAGGGTGGCCTCGCCATCACCAGGAGACCCATCAGTGGTCTGACGGTCCCGGATTTTTATGGTGCCAGCAAGGGCTCCAGACTAACAGGTGGGGGGGAGGTCATGCACCATCCCCCCTTGGACCCTGAAAGTAAACTCAGCAACCCACCACGACACGCCAAGGTAGAACCTTAGAAAGAGTTGGATGTCACGTGGTCATGCCTTGCTAGCAGAATGAATGTCATGGTCATTTTCCTTTTTTGTGTGTGTGTTTGCGCTCTGTGATTGAAGAACAAGTAAAATAATACTGAGATACCTTTATGGAGTGCACCAAACTAACAATGTTGGTTGATGGGCATGCAACTCGAAGTGCTGAAACCAACACTCCCGCGCCAAAGTGGGGGAGTACTCCTTGTGGTGGGGAGGCGGGGGAGGGGTATCCCGAACCTCAGATGCATTATAGCCGTTAGCAGAAAGGCTTTGTTCTTTGCTTTGCTTGGAGATTTCAGTAAGACCAGATCTGATTGGACCTTCTTTGAATGAAGTGCAGCCACTCAAGATGAGCAGGATTTCGCCAGAGTCCTGTGGGCTGCCGTGATAAAAATTCCATCTACAGTTTAAAAATGATACCTCTGAACGCCCCGCACATTTTAACCATTTCCCACCATGACCTGTTGGTAGCTGTGTGTATTGATTGAGAATGGACAAGATTAGTGTACTGCCCCTGAAGAGAAAGAACGCTTGTTCAGTATTTTTCAGCCAGATTGGTATCAAGCTGTTGTTTATGGACAACCTGTTGCTAAATTGGACAATTTCAGACGTCAACCCTCCTTTTACTTGTAACCGTCACAGACACCCAAAACTCCCTTCCACTTTGATTTGCCACAATACACACACACACACAGGTCATTTGACGGATTTTGACTGATATGACAACGTTGACAAAAATGAATGAAAGTTACATGTCCAACCCTCAACCAAAAGGAGACTTGCCCCCTGTTTAACAGTTAGTAGAAAAGCGAGACTGTTGGCCCCCAACCGGAGCTCAAAGTTGTGGAGAGTACCATAGCAGAATGCAGTAGACAGAACAGTGAAGAGCGATAAAGATAACTTGCATCAAGCTACCCATGTGCTGAAAACCACACAGACCCAGACAAACCGCATATATCCAGACATACATCTAAATTGCATTCTGAGGGAGCAGTTCTGTGTACCTTTGAATTTTGGAACTTCATTTTTTTTGGTCCTGTATGCTTGCGTGGTGTGGTTCTCAACAGTGTCAGTCTGTCACATCACTGAAGTACTGGGGTAGACTGTTTACGAGCAGCCATCTTAGAGGGCGGTGCAGACGTTCTACTGAGATGGGTTTTACTAGAGTCAAAACAACGAACCAAATCCTGCCCTCTGAGGATGATGAAGCCATAATCCCAAGATAAGTCCAGTGTTACCCCTATGCTGCCAAAAAGTGCATGCGACAGTGCTTGCCAAAGAAGAGTTTTTGGAATACACAAACCAGTCTAGAATCAACGTACAACACACAAGGCCTTTGTCCAGTTTGCCCGTCCTTTCTCACTTTTTTGTGAACAAATTCACCATTGATGTTTTGAAGGAAAAAAACCATGCGGTATTCCACCTGTGCATGTGCAAAATAAGGTGTGTCAGAGGTCAATTGTGGATTTTCTGTACATGGAGAGGGGTCCTATCAGCATGGTTTAACCCTGACGCATGCATGAGCTGGCATGACATCACACGTCTTATCCCCAATGACCCTGGTCCATCAAGACTCTTAGAATAAGGAGCTGATCATTGGTCAAATGCGGTAGAAGCAGTTCACCATTTAGTGCACCAAGCTTTTGCCTCAAAACTGCCACCATCAAACCCCACAGCCAACTGTTGCATACTGGATGTCGTCCTGCTTGCAATGGATCTGTCCTTCTCCACACCACACAAACACAAAGCCTCATTAGCTCCTGTACACAGACGGGCAAAATGATGACAGACGGCCTGATGACTTTAACCAACCTAGCAGAATCCTTCTCTCTGCCTTGCGACAGTTTCTGCTGGGATGGCGAAATCAGACGTCTGTGTATTTGAGGTCACTGTAGTCAGCAAGCATTCTTTATACTTTTTATCTCTAAAATCTGCTCCTCCATAAAAACAGTACCCCGTATTCAAAAGGAGTGCTATTTGGTATGTGTGTGTCGGCCACTAACTTCCAGGAAGAAAAACACCTGAAAGTGACTTTTCCCAAGAATTGTTTGTGAGGTGCTCCTCTTCAACAAATGCATGCTACGTCAAGCTGTAGACTAAAAAGCAACCAACCACAATCGAATAAATTGTAATCCATTAATCAGCTGCCACAATGTACATGTAGTGCATAAAAAAATAAAGTCTGCTCAACATCTTTGCACGAAGTATTTACCTTTTACCTTTAAAGCCACGATTGTATTTGCAGTTGTACATGTATGCTATGACTGGGAAATGTACACATCATGTATCATTTAGTAGCGAAGTACAGGTACCAGACCTGTGTATCAAATTGTTTTTTCACTAGTTATTTCAGTTCGTACTATTTTTTTTATAGTACCCAACCTTGAGTTATGTGTTAAAGGTCAGAGTTGTGCTGTATCTTTGTACACTGAGTTTGATGGAAGTAAAATTTTAGACCTGGTGTGCGACCCAGCGGTTATTACATGTGAGGGGTTAGATTACCAATAATTACAGAAGTTCCTCTCCGTAGAGTCCTGTGGAAGTTGCCTTGGTGGCTGATGATTGCAGTGTACATGTTGAATGCTAATTGTAACCATGGAGGGACTCAGTGAAAGTGTCGAAGAACCGTGATTATTCTAGTAGTAAAAATATAACTTAAACTCAGTGTTTCCTTTTTGGTTAACCGGAGTATCGGAGGTTTGATGAAAAGCACTAAATTTGTAACACTGCTCTAGGAAAAGGGAGAGGTTTTTTTTAGGGGGGGGGATTGGGGGTCATCAACTTGTTGTTTACTTGTAAGTTGTTGAGAGGTGCTTTGAAGCTTGGAGAATTCTTCCCGCATAAACTGACTGGTTGTGTGGGGGTTTAGTTTCATCTTGCCAAGATAGAAGTACACTTTCTTGTGTGTAGCCAAACTCAGCCGGGAACCAGTTGCTGGCCGATGGACATCACGTCGTGTTTTGGACGGGGACTTGTTTTTTTGCAAAGCCAATCCATTTGCTCCACCAAGTTACATATTGCTACAAGAGAGTTATTAGGTTTAAAAGAAGTGGCAAGGAAACCACCCAAGGTTTCAATCCTAAATAAAGTTACTTGTCTTGTGAATGTTTGTAATGTAAATTTCTGTGAGCCAGACTAGAAAGAGCTTGTAGTTAAAGGTTGACTTGGGGAAACTAACCATGGGCAAGTTATTTCGCCCTTCCTCCAAAAAAATCCAAGAGTGGAGAACAAAGATAAAGAGAAAATAATACGCCACACATGGCAAAGACAAATTCAGTCTTAGGGTGCTAGGATGGAGAATTTGGCACCTTTGCTTAGCCAAGTGCAAAGCCTACTGATGAGGCCTGTGGGACGTTTTGCGCATGCATTTTGTGGTAACTGGTTGTAACTAAGCAGCAGATGGATGGATGAGCGAATTAGTTAAGATGCTAACTACGTCTAGACTTCCCCCATTCCACTCTAAGTATCAAAGTGATGTGTTTAGACTAGGGCAGTCCATCAGTGTAGAAAGTGACTGCATTCTTATGAACTGTTGACCCCGAGGCTTGAATTATAAAACTGTTCACACTTTGTCAATTGTATAAACGCATGCTGTGGAATGACGGTGCTCCTGTAGACCTGTACTCTAACCCTGGAATGAAGTTTAAATTGAATGAAATCGAGGCGATCGTTTCCTTTAATTGCATATTTTTTTTTCATTTGCTGTGGTCCACCATTGTCCTTGGCTTCTTCGCAGCCTTCTCACTGATTTTGAAACAGTCTGTGAAAAGTGATTCATGAGGGTAACAGGTAGAAGGGGAAATAGAATTGTGGAATGTCAAGGGCTGTATTTAAAAGAAAATAAAGCAAGACTGAACTAAGAAAAAAAGCTTTAAACTTGTTTCGCACTGAAATCATCATCGTAGGTGTTGATTAAAAAAAATGCTATTTTGCTACAAAATTACAAAGGTTATACTAAGGCCGGTCGAGAAGTAATACTGGACTTCTTGGTTTTTATGCAGAGATTATGACACCTCTAACAATAGACACTATTGCGGATTTAATACCGCTTTTTGCCGTTTCCAGAATTTCGCTGACGCCAGATCTCGCAACGAAACCATCAGTCACAGTTTTCTTTTGGTCAAATGAATGTTTAAGGTCTGGGTATTTGGCCAATACCACCTCAATGAATTCTCAACTCATCAGTGTAGTTTGCTTTGGTTTCACCCGTTTTTATAACTGCCAATCGTAAAACAAAAAAAGAAAAGTTTATTTCGTTCTGTTGTTTTGTATATTTGGTTTTATTGTTTTCAAATTCCTTTGAATGTGTTGTTTTTAATGTGCTGATCAGATAGCCGTGCATGATAGGGTTTTGTCTTTCGTCATAGTAAAACTGTTAAGTTTGCAATTAAATGTATTATTTTAACACATGTTCCAAATAACATGCAGCATGCAATCAATATTACTTTAGAAAGATATTTTCCAAACTGCATGAATGTGTGGTAAACTTAAAATAATTTTCTCTCTTGAAAAAATTGTATTATTTTGGTGCTTACGCAAACGGGTAGGATTTACCCTTTCTAAAAATAGTAACACCGTACTTCTTGGGGTACTGCGGTTTCATCTGATTTTTAATTTTTTTTAAAATAAATTTCATCTTAGCAATTGTTCCTGACACTGTTGTGACAGAATGAGCAAACCAAGCAGTATGTCGGTAGTGGAGGTTATCTTCAATTCTTAAATTGTTTGGGATCAAGAACGTTTTTGAAATCACGAGTAGCTTTCAAAGACATTTCCTACTAGACTTTTCCATCCCAACAACTGTTTCGAAAGTAGATTTTGTTTTCTTCTTGTCAAGAAAGAAGAATCTTCAGACACTTTCAGACTTTGGGAACAGAATACTTCTCATTAACTTTGAATATTCAAAAGTCAACTTCATCTTAAGAACATTACTGTAGTTCTTGAACTAATGTAATCCCAAACGTATCCTCATTGAAACCCAGTCTATTTCACTAGTTTCGAGGGTAGTGAGATGGTATTTTGAAACTGGTTGTCATTTGAAACCAGTGAAGTATTGAAATTGTCAATAGGGCTGTGATTTGAAAATAAAGGATCATTTTGAAGTAAATGAACATTAATGGACACTTCCTAAACTGCACTAGCCATTTTGAAAGCGTTTGAAGGAAACCGTGTGGAAAAATCATTGCTCGGGATACAGAATGAAACAGAAATATCTTATTTTCTACCAAATACCTGTAATAGTGTATATTTCCATGTGTTTTAGCGAGTAAAGGCTACTGGTTGCTTTGCTACCCGAAGTCATACCAACAGTATACTCAACGCCAGCTTTGTTCTGTTGGAATAAATTACTGTGAACTGATGGGAAATATTTAAGTCTTTTGTGTGTTGCTTGTTGTTCAATAGTTTGAATTGGACTTTTCTTTTTAGAACCAATGACGGATTCCCATTTCTTTTGTAAAAGTCTTTTGTTGTGAGCTTTGGGGCTGTCAAGGAATTCATGCTATTTCTGATGACCTGAGGATATGCGCCTAAGCACGCGGCATTGTTTTCAACAGTTTTCAAATTCACAGGTTCCATTTCAAATTTGTCCAGCGTTATCAATTTGCTCTTGCATTGAGTTTAACATTCCCAGAAACAGAAGATACGAGTGGTATAATGACTGTGCAGCAGAATTTGGCAATATTTCTTTGACCCGAGTGAAAAGGGTCGGACTTGACCAATGGACCCTTTGGCGTGCTGATGAGGTTTAGACCACGGACGTATATAAAGAAATCTGGACTCGCAATGCCCTTAATTAGCTTATAGAGATCACTGAATCCACTAGCGGCCATTTGACCGAGCCGAATACAAAGCTTGCCTGGCAGAGCCGGCCTTTGTTCTCCCTGGTGTCAACAGAAGCGAGCCAACCCGTGCATTTGTATTCGGGCTCAGTAAAATGGCTGCTAGTTGGCTTCTGTTTCATACAAAGGAAATGCAAGTCCTTTTTTTTATATAAGTCCGTGGTTTAGACAAGAACCTGCAGCAGTCAAAGCTGACTCAAAAGTAATGTTCTACCAGTTGAAAGTCAATTGTAGGCAGGGATTCTTGTAGTGGGCAGACAGTGACTTCCCGTTGACTAGGAGAATAAAGAATGACGGTTCGGGCATCGGAGCGTCACTTGCTGTATGTGTCAACTTTACCTGAGGAAAGATGCCTCAAATGGACAAGGCTACAGGCACAGGGCAATTGGGCTGTCTTAAGCAATTTTAACTAACTTCTTAAAAATTATTCATTACACCGTAATAGATCACAAGGATCCATTTACAGCCTTTGGGAGGAGTCATCAACTAAAATGTGTTGAATAATAATTATTTCCTTTGATGTAGTGCAGACCTTGGTGAAAGCCCTTGTAGTCGTCACATCAACTCAATGATTTGGTAGCTTATTCCAGTCTGCACAAGGTCTCAGAATGAAAAAAGGTACGCATCTGTTCTTTTGAAAGTTTGTTTTAATTGTTACACACTGCAGTTAATTCCCCACTGTGCATCTGCTTCATCAAAATGTGCCTTTACATTCACACCTCTGTAGAGTAACCCGTTCTATGTCATCACATTGGCCATGGATAGTCTGGTGTAAAACAGATGGAAATATAGTAGCCAGGCACTTATTCACTCCTTGCCTCTCTCCACCCAGGAATAATTGGGTACCTGTGAGGGCAGAGATGGTTATTGTGGTCGATTGACCTGTTTTGCACCAAAATGGCTACACTGAGCTATATATACTCCCCAGGAGCTGAGATGGTATTTGGAATGTTTCATAGGCCCAGTGAGCAGGGGTAATAATAATGGAAAAGCGCTTTGGTCTGAGTTAGCTAAAGCGCCATATAAAAACTGCTATTAAAGTGTTATACATAAAGTGTACCATACGCATATTCTCAACTGTCTCAAGTTGGTTGACATAATGTTCCTCACGGATCCCACACAAAGTCACACATACTTCAGAAATGAATGCAGGAGATACACTGAACAAGATTTCAAGAGTCTAGAAGGAATGATGGAGTCTTTAACTTTCAGACTTAAAAGCACTGAACTTTGCTTTGGTAGATCTACTTGGGTAATTTCCAGTGAACCCCACACTAAAAAACCTTCAAATCAGATCTCATGTTTTCAAAGTCAGCCGGAGAGTACAAAGGAACCTTATGTCAGGGCCTGTTTTGGATTGGATTAAATGAACAAGTTAAAGCCTTATGGTGACTTAAACCAGGCCTCACATCGAGGTTCTTGACTCAGCTTGGAATAGAAATAACCAACAAGTCCAAGGTATTAGCTATTGTTTCAGTAACACATGTTGGTTCCAAAACACGGCGAGTTAAATAGTGCTTATTGGCAATATCGATGAAAGGAGATCAAAGTTGCATTTGAACTTTCATCAGTTGAAATTTATTAGTGTATAGAACAAAAACAGTACTTTTACAAACACATGGCGTGAAATAGGTCACTGCTTTGGACGCTCAAAGCAATCTAGGCTAAAGTGCCCTCATCTCCAAATATAGGGGTGATGAGTAGCCCTGCACCTAAGGATGGTAGCACCGCACCTAAGGATGGTAGCACCGCACCCAAAGATGGTAGCCCTGCACCTAAGGATGGTAGCACCGCACGTAAGGATGGTAGCCCTGCACCTAAGGATGGTAGCACCGCACGTAAGGATGGTAGCC